GCAGAAGAATCTGTCCAATCGGGGGAGTTTCAATATGTGGGTTGGGGTTGCGGGGGCAATGCCCCGCGGTTTGGTATAGGGATAATTTAAGTAATTACATATTGTATTATATGTTTATATATATGTCCTATTTGTAATCCTAGGTGAGTCTCTGAGATTCTGAGAGCTGAATCTTGTATTCTGTACTCTTTTATGAATATTGAAAAGGAAGTTACCGCTCTACTCCCGAGGACGTAGGCATCTTTGCCGAACTCTGTTAAATCTTGTTGTTCTTCTGGATTTGTCTCGATTACTATTTTTCTGTGCCATAATTTCTCAACAATTACATTCTACAAAAATCTGTTCATACAAGTTGAAAACAGGAGCATAGAAATATTAATAATAAAATTTTATATGCACGTGCTTAAGAAGTTGGACGACCAGAATTCTTTCAATATATAAATGTAAAGTTCATTATCTCAGCACTTCTACTTCATCCGGAACTCTTATCAACAGTTTCAGTATGTTTTTCTCTTTTTGTAGTTCAGGTTTCGCCGCTTCAAGGGTAACTGTTGAAATTTTCATCTTAGAAAGTTCTTCCTTCAAGGATAGCATTTCCAAAGACATCGAAGTTCTATTTGATTCAGCAATAAACAAGCAATACTTCTTATGTTCTAAAATTTTCTTTGATTCCAATCAGTGAGTTCTTCAGATTTCTTGAGAGTTAATTTCAACGGTAAGAATGGCTATTCGAAGTTTGTGAGTATCTTCTTCGACTCTTTCATTGTTATCTTCAATGAAGATTCCACTTCAATGCATTGATTAGCGGATTCATATTCAACTGTTAGCTTGGACTTTCCAAGGCCCAGGGCATCATAATGCTTCCTTACTCATCAACCATGAATATGCCCTCAAAAGGCCACAAATACTAAGGGGCTGGATGTTCACCAATGTGGAGATTTTGTTGGACATATGTATTTCTCCTAAGGGCCTGGATATTCACGAAGTTTGAGATTTGTTGGGTATATGTATTTCTCCTAAGGGGCTGGATATTAGCCAATGTGAAGATTTATTAATATACCATAAATGGGATCGATGCTGGAGCGGAGTGGAGCCCACGAGCGGAGTGGAGCAAAAGAATCTGTCCAATCGGGGGAGTTTCAATATGTGGGTTGGGGTTGCGGGGCCAATGCCCCGCGGTTTGGTACAAGGGGTAATTTAAGTAATTACATATTTTACTATATGTTTATATATATGTCCTGTTTGTAATCCTAGGTGAGCCTCTGAGATTCTGAGAGCTGAATTTTGTATTCTGTACTCTTTTATGAACATTGAAAAGGAAGTTACCGCTCTACTCCCGAGGACGTAGGCATCTTTGTCGAACTCCATTAAATCTTGTTGTTCTTCTGAATTTGTCTCGATTACTGTTTTTCTGTGCCATAATTTCTCAACAATTACATTCTACAAAAATCTGTTCATACAAGTTGAAAACAGGAGCATAGAAATATTAATAATAAAATTTTATATGCACGTGCTTAAGAAGTTGGACGACCAGAATTCTTTCAATATATAAATGTAAAGTTCATTATCTCAGCACTTCTACTTCATCCGGAACTCTTATCAACAGTTTCAGTATGTTTTTCTCTTTTTGTAGTTCAGGTTTCGCCGCTTCAAGGGTAACTGTTGAAATTTTCATCTTAGAAAGTTCTTCCTTCAAGGATAGCATTTCCAAAGACATCGAAGTTCTATTTGATTCAGCAATAAACAAGCAATACTTCTTATGTTCTAAAATTTTCTTTGATTCCAATCAGTGAGTTCTTCAGATTTCTTGAGAGTTAATTTCAACGGTAAGAATGGCTATTCGAAGTTTGTGAGTATCTTCTTCGACTCTTTCATTGTTATCTTCAATGAAGATTCCACTTCAATGCATTGATTAGCGGATTCATATTCAACTGTTAGCTTGGACTTTCCAAGGCCCAGGGCATCGTAATGCTTCCTTACTCATTTGTTGTTCTTATCAACCATGAATATGCCCTCAAAAGGCCACAAATATATGCATAATTGTGAAGTCCCTATTAGGTGGTCTTGCCAGGCATATGGTCCCCACAGGTTTAATTTTCTATTGTAGTTTTATTTTTTTATTCATTTCTTATTATGTTGTATGTCTTTTCTTCATTATTTATCTATTATTTGGAAAGTTCTTAAGTATGTTTAACCTAGTTGTTCTTAATATAATAAGATGAAATGTTGTAATTTGAATATGTAGGAATAAGAGAATATAGTTTCTCCACCTTTCTTCATTGTTTTAGAGTAAGTTTGGTTGGTCACGTCTAGGGCATATCAATGTCCAGGGGCATGCGACTCTTGTCTCGATAGCTTAAGCCTCTACACCACCAGTGTTGGTGTTGCTTGTTGTGACGCACCTTCTGTTATGAGGGGATCGTGAGCAAGGGTCACCGATCTCGAAGACCTGGTATATATCCTAGAATGAGTTCGGAAAGCTTCCCTCATATCTTAAATCTCCCTTCTCATCGCTTCTCTCAACTCATTGATTTGTTTTTCGCATTCTCTCTGGTGCAATCCATCGTTCTCAGGGGGCGTTCTTCAAGAAAATGGGATCTTTGTGAAACTTGCGTATGAACTCCATGTTTGTCGTATCTTTCAACATATTAAATCTTTTTAGGACGTAAAGTCTCGTATTATTCATGGGTATATACATTTTGGCCAAAAACCCAATAATGCAGGAAGTTTGCGGTGAGGAGAGAGTGAGTGGAAAGGTCTCAAGTGACGGTTCTTAAGGAAGAACTAGATAGCGAGAGACAAAAGAATTCTTTGGAAAAAAAATATGGAATCCCTCAAGAAAGTGAGATAAGAAGCAAGAAGATAGAGAGAGAGATAGATAGATAGAGAGAGAGAGAGAGAGAGAGAGAGAGAGAGAGAGAGAGAGAGAGAGAGAGAGAGAGAGAGAGAGAGAGAGAGAGAGAGAGAGAGAGAGAGAGAGAGATCCCTCGGAGTCTCCTTCTCTTTCCTCATGTTGGCCTTTTATATATGGGATAAAAAATAATGTAAAATTATTGATGTAAGAAATCAAGGATTGTATTTTTTCGTTCTCTTCGATCGACGTTGAAACCATGAGACATAGTCGGCTAATGTCAGATATTGTTGGTACGCTAACCATCCTCGATGTGTGAGTGGTGGGACTGAACCTTGAATGTTGGGTGACGTCCTTAAATGAGAGAAGAATATATGGCATCCTTGGTCAAGATGACTTTCTTGAATGAGTACATTTATGGATATAAATTTAAATTGCCCTCTTGAGGAAAATAGAAACAAGTCGGATCAGCTGTTTAGACAAGTGAGCCCAATTCAGCCAACTCTGTAGGCTGGCTCGATTAAGCCGCTTCGGTAGGCCGACTTGATTCAATCATATCGATGGGTTTCGATTCAGCTACATAAAAGTTAATTAAATCTTTTCGTATGCTGGTATTTCTATATACCGATATTTGTGGATATAATAACAAAAGTACACTCACTATTAAAAATGCCATAGGAAGACAATCATATATTGATCTCCAGAGTAATATTGTGCATAATTTTTCTCGTTGCATCTGGTTTGAGCTTTACCAAAAAATAGAAGCTGAGAACTTACATTAAGTGACCTTCGGGCAAAGGAAAATCTAAGAGCTTTGTGTATTGTCAATTTTTCGACGATCTTTAAGCAATAAAAGCTTTGCATTCTCTCTCGATTCAGGTTGTTCCACTGGGTCTCTTAGCACGGATTCATCAAGAGTTTATCAGAGTTCTTTTGACTTACCCGTCAAAATGATTGAATCAAGTCGGTCTACCAAAGTGGCTGAATTGAGCCTGTCTACAGAGATGGCTGAATCAAGCTCACTTGTCTAAACCGCTGATCCGACTTATCTCCATCTTCCTCAAGAAGGCAATTTAGATCTATATCTATAAATGTACTAATTCGAGAAAGTCATCTTGACCAACCAGGACATATATTCTTCTCTCATTTAAGGACGCCACCTAACATTCAGGATTCAATCCCACCACTCACACATCGAAGATGGTTACCATACCAACAATATCTGACATTAGCCGACTATGTTTCATGGTTTCATCGTCGATCAGAGAGAAGGGCCAAATTCCTTTATTAATCTCCTTGTCTGAAGTGGGATGCAACTAATTTACCACAAAACAATTTTAGATTCAAAATATTTTATCTCGGATCGAAGCCTTGCTCGGATTCGCCTCGCAAGCACTTACATACCACTCAATTTTTATGTGTTTGCATATCTACTATCTGAACTTCAATTTAAATATATAAGTCACCCTATTTAAGCATGAAAATGTGTAGTTTTTTTAAAGAATATGCTGATATTTTTTATGTGATCTCAAAGATTTGTGTGATATAAATATAGAGAGAAAAGTTTAGGTGTTAGGTATGTAAATATGTTGGAAAGGGTTGGTACCCATGTAAATACACCTAAAAATAAAAACCACACTGACCAAATAAATGCTCACCTTGTAACTATTGAGGATCCTATTCCTTCTCTTTCATGGCCTATTAAGTGACAAAAAAAATTAAGGGAATTTACATACATAGCGAACAATTCAAATGTATTTACATATCTCACATCTAAATTTTCATATTTACTCACATAACAAACGCTCAAAACTTTAATGTCACAAGACATAGCACTATTACCACTTTTTAAAAGTGAAATACAACTTTTCATGCATAGGTTTAAAATACCAATGTACTATGTATGCAAATATAAAAGTTTAGGTGTGAGCTGTGTAAATACATAAAAACTTATGTGCTACATTTGAAAATTTCACTAATTTTATCTATAAGAGAAAATAGTTTAGATAATTAAAATTTTACAATGTTCTCCTTTATACATTAAAGCGACGCCTTCCCACATCAACTTTATATGGAAGTTACCACAGGTCAGATTAATCATAGATCTCTAACAAATATCAACTACATCCGCTGTGTTCACTGAAAGCAAAAGAAAAGCTTTATTTATTTATTTTGTTCTGCAATAAATTTGTTCATAAGGTCAGATTAATCATAGAGACTTGTGAGAAATCCACCTTTCAAACATAACGAAGCATTGCAAAGGCATATTATTTGGAGCTGTATGACTTCCACCCTGCAACCAGATGAGTAAATTGCAGAAATTGTGAGCGCACAGAAACAACGCCTGTTTTATGCAGATATTATCAAAGAAATATTACATCACCTTCACAGTTGCAAATGTCAGATTGTTTGAGAACAGCATTGTATACCTGATGAGCAAGTTAATTAAAGTTAAGACAGAAAGAATGTGGAATACAGTCCTTCAAACTGATTCAAACCATATTTCGTGTCCTTAATAACATGCTATATATTATAAGAAAATTACAGTAGATCGAAGACTGTTATCTTTGAGATGAAGGAAAAAACAATTTTATTATAATTTGTCATGAAAAATTTGTCATTTACATACATAATACCACCTAATTCCTATGTTTTTGCATACGTAACATCCAAACTTACTTTTTTTACATTTATATCATCCAAATCATTCATATCACATGAAAAAAATACCATGATATTGACTTTTAAAATGTGAAATACTTATATAAAGTGACATATGTAAAAACTGATGTTTAGGTGGTAGACATGCAAATACATAGGAATTGCGTGGTATGTATGCGAATCTTCCTTAAAACATTAAGCTTTTGTGTTGACCTATGTGTGTTTTGGGCTTAAATTGAGTCTGCAAATGATCCAATCTTCTACAGTAAATGTGCATTAAGACCAAAGAATGCTCACCCTGCAACTTGGCCGCCAGCACGCCATGATCGCCAATTTTCAACAATAGAGAAGTTGAGGGATCTTACCCACTTAAGTGTGCCAATAAATGGTATATCGAGATCATGATCCCCACTATTAGGTTCACAAGTACATAATAAAAGTTAGATGGAACCTTGCAAGAAATAGTAAATTCTAAAATTTAAAAGATTGTTTCCTTAAGATATGCTTCGATCACCTATAAATCAGAGCTCGATATCCTCTTCTTATTAGGTTGAGATGATGAGGCACTGAAGTTGGTACGTTACATGTGTAATTACTTAAATCGTGCTTGCAACGATGTCATTCTTCGACAGTACCCTGCAAATGTTTTGCATCATTGACATTGCATGTGGTTAGTGAAAATAGAGAAAATTATAGAGGGCGAGTGTTCTCTTAGCATACTAATTTGTTCTTTTACTGGAAAGAGACAATAGTTTCATATTTAAGAAAAACAATAATGTAGTTTAGTCTAGCCGTCCCAAGTGTTCTTCATGCAAAATAGCGACCAAAATAACTTAGTTGAGCATGATATATAACAACAATCACAAGAGTAATGCAACTTCAATAAAAGAATATGATAAAAAATGAATTAATATCATTAATATATTATTCTACTCTTTCTCTCTTTTGTTTGGTTAACTTCACGTTAACCTTCATATCTGCTCTGCTCTATAAAAAATGATAAATGTCAGGTGCAACATCATACTGCTCAATGACGATTCACCTAATGCAGCGAGAAAGCCACCCAAATGAGACCCAATTATAAATCAGACTATATCAATACATCCAAAGGGTTGAAATTACCCAAAAAAGATCTAACGTGTAAAAAGATCCAACATATTAAAAACAACGGACTACATGTACGATGACACAATATGTGATTTTTCTTATGGGCATTTATGTGCATAAAGCCTTCATTGTATGAATTTT